TTTACAAAGGAGATAATACCGAAATTCTGTTAGAAAAATGATGTATAAAAATAATATATTGTATTTGTAGTAGTTTTGATGGTGGGTCCGACTTTTAGTTGATATCTATCATCGGCGCATGTTACGTCCGGATCTAGTGGTTTTACACAGGGCGGGATGTGTCATTATGAATTACTCTCTCTCACTCCTAGAAATAATTAGATATCAAATGTTTAAAGGGTAGAGAAAGATATTTTTTTAAAACTCGATAATGAAGTTATTGTACGACGATATCAAATTATGAAAACTCGCAAGGAACAAGTTTAATATATAAATTATATCATTTTTAATATTGTTGTAATATTGTTTTTTTTTTTATCATTATTAAATCCACGACCAAAGCCTCGACGTTCAACGCCTAAAAATTATGTCCGCACTGAACTCAAATTCTGGCTCCGCCCATTGAATACAATCTCATACACGCTCTTTAAGTACACTAAAACTATACAACAAATAGAAACCAAAATTTCTTTGTTCAACCATTTCTATATTTAATGTAGTTAAAGTGTTTTTAAAGGAATACCCACTCCCTCGTTGGCATACACTCTTCAACATTCCCAAAATTCTTGTACAAAGTCATTGACGATTGACAGATTTTGATCACAACAGTTATCAATGAGTAGCATATGAAAGTTTCAACACAGTCAGTGACAAGTAATTAATAACATTAATCATACCACACTAACATTTTGGATGACCGAAACGTCACGTGGTAAAATTTCATTGGACGGTTTAAAATGTTAGGAAAAATGGGGAAGCAAATATGACACAATATGAAGTATTGATCGTACAAGTAAGGACAAAATTAAAAACAAGAAGAAAGATTGATAGAGGAACCAAGTAATTTTATTATTGACAACCAATCGAGAGAAAAATACAATTTCAGTGATGCATAACTTGGAAGATATATATATATATATATAGACAATCCAAACCCGACGAACAGAATTGTAGAAGAAATAGGATGCTCAAAAGTTTCCTTATCTTAATCTATTTAAGTCCAATTCAAATTCCAACTAAAATTTACCAATAGAATTTGAATAAGATTAAAGCATTCTAAATAGAATTCCTCTTAATGTGCACATTAATTAGAGCTATCAGTTTTCTTCATCAAAGAATTCGGCTCACACCTAAATTCTAATATAAAAAAGAGTCAACAATGTCATCAAATCATTTTTTTACAGATCTTCTTTTATCAACAAAGATGTTAAATTCATCAGAGTGGCTGTTATTTTTCTATATGCATTTTTCTTGGACCACATTCATGGGGATTGGAGATTAACTTTTTCCCTAGAGGTTGAAGCTAACAGCATGGTGATTATAAAAGTAGGACATACCCTCGTTTTGTTCATTTTTTGTTCGGCAAGTGTTTATAAACACGCTAAAAATCAAATCATTTTTTATCTACATATTTCGTATGATTCACAAGTACTATATACTTATTCGTGATGTTTTCCCTACTTATAAATTTGACACACTTACTTAACAAATAATCGTAACCTTCAATTTAAATCAATCCAACGTTTAATATGTATTTTACTAAGATCATGGGAGAGTTTGTCATAACCACTTAAGATTCACAAGACATTGAGCGTTGGGTCGACCCAAATTAAAGATCACGATTATTTGTCAAATAAGTGCGTCAAATTTATGAGTTTGAGGAACGATTCCAATACTTATTCATCACTCATTTCTATCTGCTTATAGACACATTCGTTTATAGTTTAGAAACACTTGCCAAACCTATATTTTACATCGTGCTTCCAAACTTGTGTGTCTAATCATCAAGAAAGGGGTCTTCATATTTACCCACTGCTGTAGAAGAAATGAACAATGTCCCATGCCAATTAAGAACAGGAAAGTTGAAGAGTTGAGAATCTTATTATTCTAAAAATTGGTTTGGTCTCAATGGGTATTTAAAGAATTTAATGAGATGTGTATATATATAACACACACACATAGGCAACAGTAATAAGTTGTAAAGTTTCATCTTCAAAGGTCAATTTTGTTATCAATGAATGCTCCAAATTCTTTTGTTGAATGTTGTTTTATGCAGATCAAATTGTACTTTTTTAAGTTTGTCATGAGTTTTAGCCCCCGTTTTAACCCCATTATTTCTCATTACATTAAATTAAAATTTTCTCTTTCCTACTTTTAACCACACAATCTTCAATAAAATAATATTACACGTAAATAAAAAAACTTTCAACCACTCATTTTTCAAAAAAAATACTATTCATCGCATTATAATCTACAAATAATGGGGTTCAAACGGCCCCTTAAAACTCTTCCAAGTCTTTAAAGTTCCATTTTAGAATATCGGCATTTTTTATAAGGCACCATTTGATATATGAAAATTTTCCCTAGAAAATGGAAAATCAATTCCAACTTCAATTTTTTTTAACGGTGTTTGATAGCCAAAATTTTCCCTAGAATTCATATTCCAACTTTCTTGCCATATAAGTCAATTTCCAACTTTTCCTTTAATTGCATATGGTGAGAATTCCAAGTTTCGGCTTCTGCAACCTTTTTTTAATTAGTTAATTTATTTATATTTTTGACAATGGAAACAAATTTTAAGAATTATTGTAAAAAAAATTTCTCTTTAATTGACAATTTTCATGTAAAACAAAATCAAACGAACACCAAAAGATAGATGATTTTTTTTTGAATTTTTTTTTTTTTTTTGCAATGGAAAAAAATTTCATTCCCAATAACAGTATATTCTATCCCTATAATTGTCAATTTTCATATAAAACAAAGTCAAACGAATACAATAAAACACTTTTATTTCAACATTTTCCAGGTGAAAAATTATACCAATTAAGCACAATAATTTACAATTCTTAGGAAAGCAATTTCTAGGCAATTCAATTCCTTGAAATTCATTTTCTTTCCACCCAAATTTCATCTTCACAATTAAATGGACCCTGAGATTAATTCAAACTCTTATAAGGGAGAGGTTTAAAGGAATTGATTTTTTTCCTAATGTTATCGTATATGGTGAAGGAGCATATCGCTATGCAAGTGTGGATTGACGTATATGTGAGTTATTTATAGAATATTATCTTCTTCTAATTCAATCAATTGTCTAAGAAAACCTTGATCCTGAGTCTTGTGTAATCTAGGAGTCGGAAAAAGATAGGCCAACGCCATCGTTGTCTAACTACTTTCACCTTCCACAAATGGATGTCCATTGATGCACAAAATCTATAAATTTGTAATTGATCCTGGTGCATGACGCCTTCGTCCTTGATAGCTCGTTTTGTCTATCGTTTTGTTTTACCTTTTCTACTTTTGGATTTAGTTCATTTGGGCTTAGCCCTACTTACATTTGAAATTAGTTCTTGAGCACAATTTTCGTATTAGAATTAACTTCTTTAGTGCAGAATGCATTTACCATATCTTGAAAAGCATTTTGCAAATACAAATATATGTTCCTCTTTGGTTTAGAACATTTCATGAGAGATAACTTTTCAACCACGTATTTTGTGAACTTTTATTAAAATCTACTTCAATTCTGATTTTTAACTAAACCAATCAGGGGCTAATACTTGGTGAGTTTTTTTCCTTATTTATTTATTTATGTGTCATTGAGAAAATTAAGGACAAATAAATTATTGATACCATTCTCAAATTTTGAGGGAAAGGTAACTGGAATTACTTCGCCAATTAAATAGCACATATTACATACCTCAAACTATGTAAGTAAACAAGGGAATTTATTAATTCAAGAAAAACATGAAGTGTACACACTCCCAACAATGAAGACACACCAAAGATATATAAATACACTGCTAATTAATACAACTTTTGTAATTCATTGGAAAATCAATGATCTTTGCGATCATCGGAAGAAGTCTTGACAGTGACAACTGGGAAATCAAGAAGAACAGCCTTTTCTATTGCAGCTGAAAATGTAGATGAAAATTCAACATGATTTGGATGGCTAGCAAAAGCAGTGAAATCATCTTTGCTACCAAATGTCATCAAGAAAGCATGGGTGAAACCTTGCCTTAGCATCTCATGGCTTTCAATGTCCTGTCCCCTGTGTAATATATAAATAAATAATTTCATCGTCTCTCTATATTTTAGATAAGAGTCATGCTGGGCGTGCAGGCCGAGCACTTACAGGAGTCTTACCGATCCCTCACATAGGTGGGGTCGGATTTATTTTTTTTTGGCATTTTTTATGGCGTCGGGGCCCGCATCAAGGTGAGAGAAATGAGAGAGAGAGCCTCTACCAGGCCTGGTAGAGGAGCATTTTCCTTCAGATAAATTGATTCAATATAGTAGTATTGAGATAAAGTCTCGCAGGCACCTAGCTTTGTAAATTGTGGTGTGCTAGGCATTTGATGAAAATAAATCTGATATAGGAGCACGTTGAAAACTAAATTTAACTAGACATAGGTGTCTCCTCTCTAAAAAGTGTTTTTCTAGACAAGGTAATTCTATAGTCTAGTTGTGTTAAAGATGTAATATAAATAAACATATCTGGTCACATCTCTAATAAAATAAGATTATAACATAGTTTAACCTTAGTCTTAAATTAACAGTATTCTTAAAATTTCTCATTATGAATAAGTACCAATGATATGACATATCAATCAATTGGTGGATAAGTTCATAGGGTGTATACATGGATTACATCCTGATTATTTTTCTCTTATATCAACGTTTGTGGAGAAGAAATTAAATAATGTGGTTGTGTATAATAGCAGCTTCTGAAGTATGTAGAGACATACATTGAAAAAGCCGCTTTACAACACAACCAAACGTCGTTGATAGTGAGAAAACAAGATTTACCAGACAAAGGACTTGACAATGTCCATTTCTGAGACAAGTTTCTCCATGCCTTTCAAAACTTCTTCGACTGCAACTTCTTCCTTGAACTTGACCAGCACTAAATGCTTGAATTCAGCCATGGCTACTTCATCAATATGAAAAAATGAGTCTATGAAGCCATCAATATATACACATAATAATTAATTCTTTGTATGTCAACTTCTACAGTGATAAGGGTCACACCTTTGTACCATGAATTTCAGTCTCTCCTTTACAAGACAATATCTACGATTTAATATTTGGAAAGATACTAGTCTGCAACTTTTTATATCGTCTATTGGTCTTAGTCAAAATTAACCCCTTTGCTTTCAAATGAGAGAAGTAGGGTAGGGTAGGGGGCGGGGTCCATGGTGTGCTAGTTTTTCTTCATGTTCGACTTATTGAGTTGAAGACCATTCTGATATTTTTAATTTTTAGAGGATGTAGTTTAGCCCCCGTTATTTTTTTAAAAAAAATTATATTTTAAATAGTGATTTTTGGATAATATATGATTAAAAAGTAGAGAAAAATTTTCAATTTATGTGTAATATATTTTATTATACCAAAGTGTAGTTGAAAATAAATATGAGAATTAAAGAATATTTTTTTTAATTTTTTTTTAAAGGAAGACAACAGGGGCTTTAATATAGTATCAAGATAGAGAGGTGCTAAGAACATATCTCATCGCGCACAACTTATGAAAAGTTTTGTAGGTATTCGCCTTACATGAACCGGTGTATTAAATACTTTATCTAAATAAAAAAGTTTGTCTTTCTCTTATAGCTTCACCTTTTACGTGAAATAGTTCAACATGATATTAGAGTGGACAGAGACTTTGAGATCAATATCACTATAAATTTATAAAATAGTGCACATATCAAATGTTTGATAATAATAAATATGATTTACACTTGAGGATTCCCTTAACTTTTTCCACAAATTTCAGTGACTCATTTCCCAAGCCAATATCATCACACCCACCGAACCTTTTATTCCTATATGTTTGTAATTTAATGCAAAGAATACTATATCCTTCTTGCTGGACTTTTCTCCATGTCCCTCCCATGTGCTAAGCTTTTTAATTCAAAATGATGACATAACATCACTTGCCTGCCGCTAAGGTACGTTAACGTAAATTGTTAAGAAAAATAAAATTCTCACCATTAAATTTTCGACGTAGATTAAGATTACGAAGTCGTCAATTCTAAAGTCACCTAATGAAATCATAGATGTGTTAAACAGGAAATTTTACGATTTCGAAACGACTAAATTTCCCGAACGCTACTGACTTCATAAAAATAATTAACATAAAGAACTAAAATGCAAAAAATTTAGCATCCGTCTGCCCAACGTAAGCCTCAGCCATGTCCCTCTTTGGTGCAGTCCAATTGATCCAAAAGTGCTAATATGATTTAGATTAATATCAAGACAAATGTAAGTTTTCCCTTGGATGGTTTTTCTTGTGTGTGTGAAAGGTCCGCAATGTTATTCTCTTTATTTTGACAAACTGCATTTAATACTTTCTTGCTTCTCTACTTTTTCTGATTTTTATTCATCCACTTGTAGAGTAGATAATATGTCCATACAGAAAAGTAAAAACATTTGAAAATGACAAGTCTTTTACACTAGAAAATCATCCTACAACATTTTTTCAAAAAAAAAATAAAAATAAAAATAAAAATAAAATAAAATAAAAAGAAAAACCAGGTTCATTCATATACAGGAATATAGATGTGTGTATGCATGTACGTACACACACAATATTCACATTTATGAAGCTCGTATCCTAAGAGCATGTTTGATATGAAGTGTTGAACATGAGTCGATAGTATAATTTTTCTTTCTTCTTTAACATTGTTTAGTATTATTCAATTCATCTTACCACACATGTTGTAAGTTTATGAACAATTAGTTCACCATAGCCCTCTTGATTATATGTTATTTGTTTTCATTCTATTCATTCCAAGCTATTTTTTAATTCCATCAAATCACTACTAGAAAAAGGTATTTATTAATGCACTACAGAAATAAAATAAAATATAAATATAAATTTAGGAGGGCTAACTCTAACATACTCCTTTCATTTTACTCAAACGCCTTGCATTTTTACTCATTGTCATCATACACTGATTGTTTTTTCGCATAAACTCTGAAATCATCTTGGAATGTCGCATAATCACTGTCGGCATGGACAGGAAAATCTGTATGAATAATCAAAATCCCTTTCAGATCGACTCATCTACTAAGTGTCCATATTAGCCTTCGATCCAAGAGAAATCTTCGCATCCTAAATTCAATTCTATTAATAAATAAAGGAATATTCATTAGAACGGCAAATATTTTACTAGTAATTACTATTCTTCTGCTCTTTTTTTCCCTTTTTTTCCTTGCTGCAATCCTTTCTCTTCTTTTCAGGCTACAAAATGTGCAGAGGAACCTAGTTCAGGAAACAACAAATCAAGTGTAGACAAGGTCAATATACAGATAAATGGAATGTAGACAAGCCGTTGCCGACATCCCTCGTGCAAATGTAAGAATTTTATTACCTATCCAAACGTGTGCAGAATGTGGGGTAATGAATAGCAGTCATGGATCATGCATCTGATCCGTAAAATAATAATGAAAAGGAAAATAAGTGGAAAAATATTAATCCACCTCGTATAAAAGTTAGTCTTTTTTTTTTTTTTTTTTAAAGCCATTAGAGAAGCAACAAACTTATTTAAATTATATCTTCTATACATGCATATGATTTTAATTAATAGGTGATGTGTTGACTAAATTGAAGGCCTCCATATGCTTTGATATTGTGTCAGATTATTTTATTTTAAAGTTAAGTTATTAGACAACGATAAGCTTATTTAAGGAAATTATATCTTCAACACCAACCCAACTCAGACATTTCAGGCAACAATAATATCTTCTATACATGCATACGATTTTAATTAATAGGTGATGTGTTGACTAAATTGAAGGCCTCCATATGCTTTGATATTGTGTCAAATTATTTTATTTTAAAGTTAAGTTATTAGACAACGATAAGCTTATTTAAGAAAATTATATCTTCAACACCAACCCAACTCAGACATTTCAGGCAACAATAATATCTTCTATACATGCATACGATTTTAATTAATAGGTGATGTGTTGACTAAATTGAAGGCCTCCATATGCTTTGATATTGTGTCAAATTATTTTATTTTAAAGTTAAGTTATTAGACAACGATAAGCTTATTTAAGAAAATTATATCTTCAACACCAACCCAACTTAGACATGTCAGGCAACAATAATATCTTCTATACATGCATACGATTTTAATTAATAGGTGATGTGTTGACTAAATTGAAGGCCTCCATATGCTTTGATATTGTGTCAAATTATTTTATTTTAAAGTTAAGTTATTAGACAACGATAAGCTTATTTAAGAAAATTATATCTGTTGACTAAATTGAAGGCCTCCATATGCTTTGATATTGTGTCAGATTATTTTATTTTAAAGTTAAGTTATTAGACAACGATAAGCTTATTTAAGAAAATTATATCAACACCAACCCAACTCAGACATTTCAGGCAACAATAATAAGGGAGCAAATTACATAGACTTCACCTAAGGCTTACCATAACAATAAAGTTACTTGTACAAAATTGGATTACAAAAGTTGAGTTACAAAGTGTGTTGGCAAAATTCAGGACATTGATTTCAAATAATTTAAAAATCTATTTTTGAAATGATTGGTGTGGATGTAATTTTGTCTTCCAACTTTGTCAATCCCGTTTGTAAGTGTAGCATAACTCTTACCATAAATACCGAGACTCTCACTTAATTTTCAAAATTCCATAAACCTCTTTTGAGGCTTACTCTTTGCAACACATTTCCACGTCAACTAAAAGTAAATATACATTTCACATTTTACCCCTCTATTCTATTTTAATATTGTTTATTATTATATTTATAATATTTTTTTCTTTTTTCTTTATTAATATATACTTTTTCATAATTTTACTTGCGATGAAACCATTTTAGTTATAAAAAAAATCATAATAAATCTTATTATAAAATCTATAAAATTATTAACATCAATTTAAATATGATTATAATTTAGATAAACAAATATGTTAGAACAATTTAACAAAGTTAGCTAAATTTTTAATATCATTATCATATTTTACAAAATTATTAAATTCAAAATTTACAAATCAATATAACTAAATATTTTAGAACACTTACATAAATCTAATTTAAAATTTTAATACTATTATGAAATATTGTAATAAAATTATTAAATATGGTTTTTTAAATACGATTGACAAATAATTAACAACTAAACATAAATAAATATTTTAGAATAAAATAAAGCTAAAGAAAATCATTATATGTTTTATATTGCTAGATTTAGCAGAATTTCCTCTAGTTTTTGTTTTTTTAACACTCTTTACATTTATACTATACTTAGGAAATTAAATTAATATTATCATCATATTATTAAAAATGCAAAACAATGTCATCAAAGTTTTAAATATTATATTCTTTTAAATCACCCTTCTTATCAGGCCCCTATTTGGTGAAATTAAAATTTAGATTTTAATATAAGTCCAAATCAATAATTAATTTCAATAACATATTTTATGGGCTCCACAATTTTTCAACTACATATCTCATCAACTTTTATTCAAATCTATTAGAAATCTATCTTGATCCCCACCAGACAAGGCCTGAATAAATTATGACCAATTTTAGTTTGTCTATTAATAAGAAATCAATCTTCACAAACATGTGATTAATTAAAATATTTTTTTTCCTAAATTAAAATTAAGAAGGAAACAAATAAGAAAGCAATTATAATCATATCTATAAGTATAATATGATAGAATGACAACATCAGAAAAATTTATGTTATGGGTGAAGATTTCTGAAATTTAAAAATAAAAATAAATAAGAGTGTGTTTGGTTGGCTTTATTTTCATGAAAAATGTCATTTTTTTTCATCCAGATTCCTATTTTTTTAGTGTTTGATTGATAATTTTTTTTCAACTTTTGATCACGTGATCATATTTTTCTAAAAAAAATGAAAATAATTTCTTTAGGGAGAGGTATTTTTATTTTCCAGATAATTTACTCTCTTAACTATCATCTCTCTCATTTACCCTCCAATAAAAAAATGACAAATATAATATTTTCTTTAGGGAGAGATAATTTTTATTTTCCAGGTAATTCACTCTCTCTTAACTATCATCTCTCTCATTTACCCTCCAATAAAAAAATGACAAATATAATATTTTCTTTAGGGAG